TCTGCTCCCAACTCCTTCACTGGGAAAAGGCCCAAGTGAGCCAGTCAGTAAAAGGCTGAGCTACAAGATCAGCACATCCCTGTGTGTAAGTTCCCCATCTGCAGCCAGCCATTAAGCCCACTGGCCCTCTAGGTCAAACAACTGACCAGAAAGCAAACAGCTGAGGGTCAGAGCAGCTCATGCTCAGCAAGTCCTCTTAAAGGGCACACTCCTATCAAGCCCTTTGGAGTGGCTGGACCTGTTTGACCCAATTTGTGGGGTTTGGATGGGTCCCAGGGGTCAGTGATTTTCCACTTCCAGTTGTTGGTCTGACCCACAAACTGTGGGTCACTGGGGAGGTGTGAACCAGCCTTCTGAACTCTGAACCCACCAGGAGCTAACAAAAACAGAGCGGGAGGGGGAGAGAATTTCATTAGGGCCTCTGCCGAGAGAAAATGCAGAGTTGTTTTCTTCTACTCAGAAGTGAACACTGTGTCCAAGGGGCTGCAATTGAAAAGGTGTTTGGTTTGGCTTATGGGTTAGTTTGTTTTTTAAAGGAAAGTAATAACATACACAAGCAGGCTGCATGAGGTCAGATGAAAATGAAGGTGCTTCAAAGTAGCTCTCTGGAATCACCATTATTAGAAATTGCCCCCGAATCTCCCTTTATTCGTGTGAGTGCAGCTTTTCCTGGGGATGACATTTCTGCTGCTGCAGGTTGGCATCTGGGGGGGGGGGAAATGCCTTAAAAATACTGACTTTCTGTCCACTTTAAAAATAATAAAATGGACGTTCAGGGTTGGTCAGGCGCCAGCTCTCTCTCCTTTTCTTAGTCTTACAAATTCTTAGCTGCTGGTTAATGTGATGTAGGGAGTGGGGGCTCCAAAAAGTGCTTCGAGCCGCTCTCTGACTCCCTTTTAAAGTCACTAATGCCAGCAGGCCTGGAGCTGGGAGGAAATCACCCATACTAAACCAACAAGCATGAAGGCGGGGGAGGGGAGGGGAGCGAGTAATAGAAACATAGAGCTTAAGGCCAGAAGGGATCATGAGATGATCTAGAATGAATCACCAGGGAATAGTTCAGTTTCAACATTCAGGGCTTATTATAAATAGGAACAATGGTCTGGGTCATTCCCTCCCTTCCTTTCAGAAATACCCTGGGGAAGTGAGCTGGGTAAAGGGGGTTGACACATACACAAGGACCCTTTGTTGAGTTGTCCTCAGATCGTTCCCCTCCTGGGGTCGCCGGAGCAGAATTGCCAGGGCTCCCCCAGCCTTCCCTGCCCACAGAGACTCCCTTGAAGTGTTCGGATCATGGCTTTTTATCCGAAGGGTGCAGAAGTATTAACACACTGGCTTTTCCGAAGCGTCTGTGTGAAGTGGACCCATGTGCCTGGCTCTACCCACGCCTTCCCCAGCCTGACCATCCTCCAGCTGCCAAGCCTGACCCCACAGGCATAGCTGAGCCATTTGTACTCCACCCCCAGAAGAGGGGCCTGGAGAGGGAACACCCTGCATGGGTAAAATTGGCCATCAAACCTAATTCCAAGACTCTGACTGTGGAATCTGGTTTCTTCCTTTCCCAATGTTACTCTGGACCGGGGGTGAGCAAGCTTTTTGGCCCGAGGGCCACATTGGGGTTGCGATATAGTATTGAGAGCCGGGTAGAGAAGGCTGTGCCTCCCCAAACAGCCTGGCCCCTACCCCCTAGCCACCCCCTCCCACTTCCCACCCTCTGACTGCCCCCCTCAGAACTCCCCCCCATCCAACACACCCACTCCTTGTCCCCTGACTGCCCCATCCCTGGACCCCGCACCCTTAACCGCTCCCCCGGGACCCCACCCCCATCCTCCCCCTCCCCCCCCGTCCCTTGACTGCCCCAACCCCTATCCACCTCCCCGACCCCCAACAGGCCCCCCAGGACTCCCATGCCTATCCAACCCTCCTGTCCCCTGACTGCCCCCCCGACCCATCCAACCCCCCCTGCTCCTTGTTCCCGACCACCCAGGGACTCCACCCCCTATCTAAGCCCCCCAGCGCCTTGTCCCCTGACTGCCCCCTCCATAGACCCTGCACCCTTAACCGCTCCCCCGGGACGCAACCCCCTATCCTACTCCCCCGTCCTCTGGCTGCCCTGACCCCTGTCCACCTTCCCGCCCCCCTGCTCCCTGTCTCCTGACCACCCCCCTCCCCAGACCTCCGCCCCATCCGACCTCCCCCTGTCCCCTGACTGCCCCCTGGGACCTCCTGCCCCTCCCTCCCCCCACCCCCTTACCATGCTGCTCTGAGCGGCAGGACAGGCTTGTTGGAAAGCCTGGGAGGTGGGCAGGTGCAAGCCACGCTGCTTGTGTGGCAGCATGGCTGCCGAGGAGGGGCCGGGGGTGAGCCTCCCCGGCTGGGAGCTCAGGGGCCGGGCAGGACGGTCCCGCAGGCTGTAGTTTGCCCACCTCTGCTCTGGAGGGTTCTACGCCCCCGGCACACTCAACTCTCCTGAAAAGAAGCCATTCCCTGTACGCTACAGCATAGGCGCCGACTCCGTGGGTGCTCCGGAACTGGAGCACCCACCAGCAGCCCTGCCAATCAGCTGCTACCCCTCCCTCCCAGTGCCTCCTGCCCGCCCTGATCAGCTATTCAGCGGGGTGCAGGAGGCACTGGGCGGGGGGAGGAGGAGTAGGGGCAAGGGTGGAACGAGGCGGGGGTTGAGCAGAGGCAGGGGCTTGGGGGAAGGGGTGGAGTGGGGGCAGAGAACCCCCTGGAAACAGAGGAAGTCAGCACCCATGCTCTACAGCTGCCCCTCCTCCAAGCTGTGTGGACACATAATGCTCCTTCTTTGCCACACCCAGACCCTTGAAGAGTGAAGGTGTGTTGAGGGTGCAACTGGTGATGCATGGCAGCTTGTTCCAACAGCAACTCTAATTGCAGCTTTAACAGAATCTGTTTTCCACCAATTACATTTGAAATACTTTAAAACCATAAGTTCAGCTTTGCATTAAGGGCCCAATTCAAAGCTGCCCAGACTCCCACTGGGCTTTGCATCTGTCCTAAGCATGTTTGCATTATTTGATTTTTTTAAAAACACGATTAGCAAAAGTTCTGTCTAATGATAACAGCTAAGAAAAATTACATGAAAACATATGACCATTATCTTGACAAAGATCCTTTTAAGCATTGCTCGTCTGTCTCTTGAGTCTTGAAAAAGGAAACTAATGCCAAGTATGACACACTAACATTTGTTCCCTTTTTTTTATTCCTTGACACACAACTTCTTCCGCTTTTAATTTCTCTTGCACATAAACACAAGCTTCCAGTTGCAAGATATGGTGTGGATGGCTCATCAACCAGTCTTGTCATCATTCCTACCACCTCTGGTAGAAACACACGGAGCAACCCTTTGGTTTGCTGCGGAAGTTAGACTTTGTTGCAAGGCCTATGTGTGAGGGTAGAGATACCAGTTGTCTGAACACATGGGGGGTTAAGAGTCCTTTTAGTGTCTCAGAGGGTGGCTTCAACCCCTTCAGCACTTTGCCTGGACTGTCTCATGAAAAAAACAGGAGGGCCTGTCTTTTATAATGTTCTGTTTTTAAAGCAAAACGTCTCTGGGGACCGTAGGGTCCTAAAAGTCCAAGGCCTGGAATTCTTCCTTTCTCTCTTTCCATTTTAAACAGGAAACATTTGCACTAAGCGATTCCAGGGGGAGTGTTGTAGGTTCATTTCAAGGCAGATAATGTTTGTTCATTGCCTATGTCTGTGATTTACCCCATGGGCTTAAACGAGTGCAGCAGAAAACCACATGTTGTGTTTTACTTCATGCAAAACAATTTTCGATGGCATCTGGGAGGGGAGCCCGGGTTAAGAAATGAGAAGCATGCTTATAAAATCCCTGTGTGAACAAAAGAGAGAGTTTGGTGGAGGAAGTGAAAGTCATCAGCAAATTTGACACCTGATACCTTTTACAATAGAGATTTTTTTAATAAATCCACAAACATTTATTTCAACAACTGATGAGTTTAGTCCTGTGCCCCTAGGGCAGGTATATCTAATTTACATTTTCCGTCTTCTTTGGGTCAAAATCCTGCAGTTCCTTCAGCTTGTCTTCAGGCAAAAAACTCCTCTGAAGTCAAGGGGAGGTTTTGCCTGAGTGAAGTAGAAGGACATTTGCACTCCCAACAGTAAAACTCTGAAATGTGCTGAACTGTTGTGGGTGCTGCAGTGGCGGATCTATGCAGAGCAATTATTTTTGCCATTTAGAAGTATCACATGTTAAACTATTCTAGGGAGAAATATCAATCCCTCATTAGTGTAAATCGTGGAATTTAAGACACAGAAAGGTACAGAGGGGACTTTATAGCCCATCCTCTGGGATTACATGTTCACATGTTGCTTTTCACATGCACCAGAGCTTGCCAAGCCCTTATGGATACAAACAAGTTGCAGAACAGACCTAACATCAGGCTCTCCAGCTCACCGGGGGGGGGGGTTTGAAACCTCGCTGGCGGCTAGCCCATTAATCACAGACACTGTATCCTAACATCCCTTTTGTTTCTTCCAGGAGTTCCAAGATTTCCAACTATGGTGTTTTGGGAGTTTTACAGTCTGACATGTTAGAAGAAAAAAGTGGGCCAAGGCTGGGAGGTGTGATTATTTGTGCACATAAGGCTTATGGGATTTGCAAAGCTGTAGCCCAAACTCATCTGTTTATCCTCAGGCTAGATAAGACACAGTCAAACACCCATTGTTTGAAGGATCTTTGTTTCCATTATGGCAAATGGATCAAGGGAGGCTGGCTTTGTGTGCTGCAGAGCTCTTCTTCCTTTGTCAGTGGGCTGTGACGTGCGCAGGACCCTTGCGCCCAGTGTCCTGCATATTAGAAATATTGCACCAAGTTCTATTATGACTCACCAGGTCGAGTTACTGCTGAGATGGCATTTCCTGTCCCACATTACATGTAGAACTTTAACTACAGTGTGTTGCTGGCTTGGAATACTGCTTTATTTATCTAGATGTATTTTCTTCCTTCCCAGGTGTGGACCTGCAGAACCAATGGAGTATTTAACAGGGCCACGAGTACTATACAAAGAGAGAGATCTTCCATACTACCAAGGAGGGCAGCCTGCTGTCCACTCCTCTAAAGGAAACTACTCTCGTGCACAAGACGTGAGGGCAGCAGAATTGCAGTACCCCCAGTATTACCCAGCCCAACAACTAACCACCCAGCACAAGGGACCCCTCCGCCAGGATGTCCCGCCTTCACCTCCCCAACCACACAGAGTGCCAGCTTATAATGAAATGAGCCGAACAGGACAGCATGGGAGCAGCCCGGATCAATACCAATATAGACATCAGGATTCCAGGCAGAAGAATCCCATGACTGCAGCTGTATAGCCTGAAACTGGACTTTGTCAACATGGGCTGGGATGAAGGATTCCTGACATTCCCTTTTTTACAGTTGGTCCTAACAAGCTTAACTGCATGTAGGAATGGCACCTTAACTGGAATCATTCTTACTGAGCCTGCCTCAGGATTGGTTCGTTTTCCTAGGAATCTTGGGCCATATCAAATTAAGATAGTGTCTTTTAGGTACGTGCGTTACCAGGCATTCAAATGTTTTTAACGCTAGTTAAAAATAGAAAGTGATGGCTGAAAAGTAAGTGTAACTGTTAGTACAGCTCAGGGCTATTTACCACATCTGGTTACACACACACACAGACACACAGCGCATCACAAGAGTCCATTTTGGATCCACACCACAGGAGTATTATATCACAGAAGCCTTCTAGTGACCTGACACATGTATTCAGTGCAGTGCTCCCTTGCTACAAGGCTCTTCGTGGGAGCAGAGAGTCTTGTGTAATCTAGTGGCACGTGCAGTGGTGAGTTCACAAATGACTTCCGTCCTGTTGCACTCCCACTCGAACCAGCAGTTTTATATTTTGAGAATGCCGTAGTCATTGATTTTTAATCTTGCCTATATCTTCCTCTTTCTGCTTCTTTGCTGGAGCATGCATCCGGTAGCCCCCCTTTTTTGTAGTTCTGCATCAAGTTTATCCTCTTTTCATATTGCAAATAATACAGTTGGACTAAAATGAACTAAACTTCCTCAGCCATACTTGGGCAGTTTGGACAGTATTCATAGAACTGTCCTACAGGATCATTAGGGGACAAGGCAACCATCTGAAGAATGTCTGTCTGTCTGTCTGTCCCCATGTGTATGTATATTATGCAGAGCACAGCTCTTAAATGTAACGCCTGGGGGCCAGATGCTCATCAGCTGTCAATGAGTGTAGCTTCCTTGACTTCAGTGGAGCTAATCCTATTTATACCTGCTGAGGATCTGGCCCTAGGCGTGAAGTACAGTAAGTGCTATTAAAGTTGTTACTTCATCAGGTATTCAGATGGATCAGGGAGGGCAGAGCCCGTACTTGCCCCCACGCTAGTCAGGTTTGCATAAAGGCATCTGCTGGCATATCAGTTAACGAATTCTGAGCCTGCAGTTGTAAGCTTCTATCCTATCCTTCTGCTGTCACTGTGCATGGCTCCTGCCGTTCAAATTGTCACCTGTTAATGCAGGGCCCGCTGCTGATCATTGCAAGGAAGGTCAGGCTCTGGCAGTGCCGGTTCTGTGTGAAGTGCCAAACAATGCCAATTCGCCCAGCAGTGGTCCACAAGGCAACTGGAAAAGGGGAGGGGGAAGGAGGCTTGAGGCTTTTAAAAGCAACAGGGGATGGGGAAGAGAATGAGGATAACAGAGGAGAGATTGCTTTAGAAACGTTGGGGGCAAAGAGAAAAAGAACCAGGAGAATGGCTTAAACGATTAAGGCTTTTTAAAACAATTAGGTGAGGAGAGGAGAGAAGCTGAGGTTGATGGAGAAAGAGAAGACGAGGGGAAGGACATGTGGGGAGGGAGGGAGAGAAGGTAGGAGAAGGACCTAGCTTCATTCCCCGAGCTCGCTGCAGACATTAGCTCAGGGCTGCTCTGCAGTCTCCAGGACTGGGGGGTGGCCTTAAGGAGGTAAAAGATGCTCTGCGGCAGTTTGAAATGTGCCTCCCAGCCATGCGACTTCTCAACTCCACAGACATTTGCTACGCAATCTAACCAGGCTTCAGATGCTTGGATGCTTTGCTCAATGATTTGTCATGCTAAGCATTGCTTAGGGAACCACAGAGCCTGTAACTAGGAACACATTTTAAGTAGCTTCTGAGTGTCCGTAATTCTTCAAGCTCTGCCTTTGGAAGTAACAGAAGCTAGTTTGGGCCCCTCTCCTGTAAGGAGTTTGGGCCCCTCTCCTGTAAGGAGTTTGGGCCCCTCTCCTCAACAAATGCGTCAGGATTCATTGCACAGGTCACCTCCCAGTTATAGATCACACGAAGGGTCCATTCATCTGGTGCGTATCCCTTTATCAGGACTGGTAAGAATTCATTCAATCTCTAGAGACTGGGGCACGGTGTATCTGAGTCTCACACAGGTTTGCACAGCTGCATTCCAAGGGGCTCTTCCAACCATTAGATGCATTCCCATTCCACTGTAAACACTGTGTAGGGTACATGCCACACACAGCCTGTACTTCTTTGAACGAGCTTTCTGTACTGGGTGGTATACTCGGTTAATAAAGATTTGGTAGCCACAGGGTAGCTGCTAGTGACGTGAACATCCACCTAAAGCGAAGTGAAAACAAATTAAAATACTTTCCTTTCCTTTTTTGATATACAGCCCCAGATACATTTGATCCAGCTGTAAAGAAACTAATATGTTTGTGACAGTGGCTTGATCAAGCCAGACCACAATTAAGAACAGCTCTGAATATAAGCTACTGCCTTATCATTCATTACCTACTAACCCTTCAAATGCTCTGCAGCACAGCTTACAGAACTCATTTCCAGTGTTTCATGAGCCAGGGCCAAATAAAAACAGGATGGAAACAGCTTCTGGGTTATTTATGGCTTTTGAAGGGCTTGCTCAATTGTCTCTCTATAACCTGAAACCTCCTGTGAAATCTCACATTGACTGCAATGGCACCTCTTGGTTAGGGCAGACAGATCAAACGAGCACCTTCGGAGTTGTTAATCTTACCCAACAGGTTACACAGAGGAGACTTTAAAAAAAAAAAAAACGTAGGCAATACTAGTATAATCTATGGACACATCGTACACGACTGGAAGCTATGAAGGAGAAAACTTCTGACCTTGCTGGGGGACAGGAGCAAAAGGTATCACAGACCATCTCGGTAATCTGTGGTGCTGGTCCAGGAGAAAACAGCATTTTGCTGGTTGAATATCTTGTAGAGGTACGGTATTTGCAAAGCATGGTATATAACTACTGTATATATAGTCTGCTTCTGTGCAATGTATGATTTTAGCACCATATTGTGGAAAATATGTACCGTGCAAATTTCACGAGGTGCTACAACTGACAGTTGAAAATACACCACTTGCAAAATCCAAAAGAGCCGTTCAGTAACAGGTTGCTCTTTTCCCCATATGTCCATATGTTTTGGAGTGTTACGTGTCTGAAATGCTCTTGACACATAGTTGCCTCACACTCCTTCATCAAAAATGTGCCAATCCAGCAAAAACCTTCCTGCCGTGATCTGGGTTTGCAACGATAGCCCAGGTTGCTGCAGGAGCCAGAACACTGTACGTTTGCACAGTGGCATGAGTCAAGATTAAACAAGAGCAACCTGCTTGCATGCCAGGAGGGCTGCTGTGACTCCCCAAGCCACTGAGTTGCAGCACTGGTTTCTGTTTCATGTAAAGGGGCAGTTGGACTGTGAAGGATTTAGAGACACAAATAGAAACCGGTGACTTGCTGAGTGACCAAGCACTCGTGATCCACTGACATTGTCCTGTGAGGAAACATTACCACTGTGATAACTACTATTCTAAGGAGGCTCTGTGGGCACTCCTGCAAAGATGTTTTTGTGACAAAGGGAGGGGACCCAAGAATAAAAGCAAACCCATCCCTAAATAATGCCTGTAGCCCTGGACACAAGCTCACACAAACGTCCTAAACTAGAAATAGCTTCATATGCTGCCTAATTTTTGTACAGAGTGAAAGTGCTACCTCCTCCTCCTCCTCCTCCTCCTAAGCATCATCAAAGATTTGATTTTCAGAGAGAGAGTTCTGAGCGAATCCCATCTCATTACTCTTCTGGGGCCTGATCCTGAGGCTTCCCACTGAATTGAAGTTGTTCGCCTCCTCCCAGGATGAGGCGCTACCCGGCAGTCTTGATTGCCGTTGTTTGCGAGAGTATTCTAACCTTACGTGCACACTCTGGAGAGTGCCGGTTGCTATCAATATATAATAAACCAGGATGTTTTGTTTATAAGTCATTTTTCTATTATTTCTTGGCTTTTTTATGATACCTGACTATGGTTGTGTGTGTTGAATAAAAAATACAGTGAAATCATCATGGGGGGAGGATTCAACACCAAATTTGAGAAAAAATTTTGGTACCACAAATGATTTTGCATTTTTTTGTTATATATAACTATATACATTTTACCTGTTTTATTTTGCATTAAAATAAAGGCTTTAAGACTACAGACTACCATCTATTTGTATATTGATTCTATCACTTCTTTGCACTTCTGAAGGCATCATCTTCTTGGGTTGTGATCTGGCGTGGTCAGAATTAGTGGGAGAACTTCAAGGGAAACCCGGCATTGCTGCAGAAAATGGTGATAATAACTCATTACACTTAACTTTGAGTCCCTCAGAGCCAGCTTTGAATCAGTGCCCCAGCATTGTGGTAGGGGATGCTCTGCTATTGGGCGTTCCATGTTCCAGATGAGTTGTAAAACCATGGCACTTTTCAGAGAGATGTTAGCTTCTGTCACCTGCTGACTGACCCCTTTCAGAGGGAACAGCGTCCAGTGCACCCGTGACTGATTACCTGCTGCCTGGTTGGGCTTAAGAGAAGGCACCTGAGCCTTGTAAAGGAAGCTGTAGCAGAGGCTGTGGAAGAATTGCAGCAACCAGGAGGTGCCTGCAGGAGACCCTTGACTGGAGGAAGGGTTTTGAGGCTGGAAGCCAGACCTAGAAAGCTGAGCTCCAGCTAGGAAAGGCTAGGAGTGGCTTCATGAACATGGCTGGGACAGGACAAGAGCTCTGGATGTGGTAGAAGACTCCAGAGCAGAGAATGAACTTTACAGATGTGGAGACAGACTGTGTTTTGGAACCTTGAGTCTTGTTTTTGAACTGTTCCTGTTAGGCAGCCAGCCCCAAGCAGGGATGATGTCAGCCATAAAAAAGTCTGTGTGGAGTTCTTAAGGGCCCTGAAGAAGGGAAACTGAGGCAGGGGTCTACAGGGTCCCCTGGCCACAAGGGGGCTCATAAGAGGTGGTCAACTCTGTAATAGCTGTGACCAAATTCCAGCAGCAAAATTTGGCCAACCTAAATTCCCTCCACAATTTCAATTCAAAGCAGAATTCATCATTTCCTGTTCTCACCTGAAGCGTAGTGTTGCTGTGTGTTATGTAACAGCCACCCCATTCCACCCCAGCTGAGGTTGCATTTCAATGAGATGGGTGCAGTGCTTCCTTTACGTGCATTTCAGAACCCTTGAAACTCTGATGCAGGCACTTAACTTGAAGTATAAGAGTCGTCCGATTAAAGTCAATGGCAAACTACTTACATGCTCAGACTTATGCAAACGTGGCAGCATCAGGGCCATAATTCGTATAGTACATTGGCACCTGTTCAGATGTAATGATGAAATTCTCAAAACCGAATATAAAGCTGTTCAGTGTTTGGAAGAAAGTCACTAGGCCATGGAGCCACTAAAGATGTAGCACTTCTATGAATAATGTTCTCTGTGTTGCTTCTAAGAAGCATAGTAAATGGAGAAAGAGGACAATGAGACAGAAGGGAAACGAAGGGCTTACAAAATGGGGTATATCAAAAGTCGTGACTGTTTATTAAAAACGTGCTAAGCTCAAGAAAAATTCAGTACAAATAAATGCAGATGTTGTCATGTATATCCAAGTGGATGGAGTAAACACCCTACTCAGGCCCTGAATGGGTTAATACAGGCCAGAGGGGCCAGTTATGTCATCTGGCTGCACCTGGAGAGAGCGTCAGGCTTAGCCATCCTGAAGCCCAGCTGGGCAGGAGCAGGCTAGTGAAAAGTGAGGAGGCTTGTAGCAGGACAGGTGCTGCAAGGACAGTGTCTGCAGTCACCCTCTGGTGATATAGATGTGGTGAGAGGGAAGCGCAGGGGGAGAATAAGCCCTGGGATCCTAGCCTAACTCACAAACAGCTGAGAAGGTGTAAAGAAGCCCCTGGGATGGAGCAGGCCCTGGTGGTGAGCCCTGAAAGAAGGGCAGAATTTGGACTGCTTGGGGGAGAGAGTCCTGGGAGGTATTCTGTGGAGGGACAGAATAAGGGGATCTGACAAGGCTGAGTAGGAAGGAGCCCAGGGAAACAGCAGCAAGGAATGGGAGTGCGCAGACCTTGGCTGCTGGTTATAGGATCCCTGGGTTTGAACCCAGTATAGTTGGAGGGCCTGGGTTCCTCTTCCTCTGTGGCAAGATGGCGTGAGTCCGGATAAGGGAACAAGGACATTGGAAAGCCCTGAGGCCGGAGTTTGAGGACCAGGGGCCTGGATTTGGAGCCAAAGACCCTCTTGTAAAGACATTGGACTGTTTTATATTGGACTTTCTGTTATCCTGGAAGTGACTGACTAAATTGTGAGCTGGCGAGAGGGCCGAGTTTTAGGAAGAGACACAGACCACCACAGCACCAGAGTGACCATCAGCAGGGGGAGAGAGCTGCTATGCCTCACCTGGGCACAAGGAGACGTTCCTGTGGTGAGTGAACCCCTTTACACCAGCATAGTCGTCAAGTCACACTGAGTCAGTTTTAGCACATGTTCAATTCTAATCCATGCAGACACCAGTTTTGAAAGGGATCCGGCCAAAGAAGCAGGACCTTTCACTAAAGCTGGATGGGGAGATAAAGTTTTGATGTCTTAATTCCTCCTTTGCTGATGATAACCAGAGAGCTAGCTAGAGATAGTTTGAAGGCATAGTAAGAGCCGAAAACTCAGGAATCATGATTTCAAAATAGTTATCTGGCTTCCCTGGCTAATTGTTTTCCAAGGCTTCCCAACTGCAGCACTCTCATCACCTGGGAACTGTGCTCCCAGGGTGTGTCAAGCCGAGTGTCTGTCTTCCAGTCACTGCTGCCCTTTGCATTAAGAGCTAGGTGGTGTTTTAGCCAGGTGAGTCCCATCCATTTTAATAAGCCATGCAGCTAGAACCTAGCACAGATCTTTATTCTAAT